ATGGTATCACATGCAAATAAAAACCGCTACACATAAAGAACTATATACATATTTATGAACACAAAAACACATGGACACAATTGTTTAAAGAGGCTGAAATAAACTCATACGAATAACACATCACATATGGACACACTCTGACACACTAAAAGGTTATGCATCATACATCTGTGTGTTGTTGGTCTTCTGTAGGGTATGAATCAATAAAAGGCAGTAAACTGGCTGAGGTAAAAGCCTGTTACTCGGGGCTGGCGCATAAAAACTTCATCAGTTGAAGGCCGAACATAAACAGCAGCCAGCAGATAGCAGAGTTTAGAGAGGGCCATGAAAAAGGCAGTATTCGCTTTTAAAATAAGTGTTTTTCCATCATCCTTCACCAGAAAACAGCATAGCAATGACAATTGTCTTGAACTAGCTTATTATCATGACAATCAGCGTAACATGACAATTAGCTACTGCGTCACCCTCATTCCCTTTGTTTTACAAAATACATTAAGAGTGATTTCATGGCATTAGTGTGGATTCTTTTGCATTTCAAAATCCACACAATATTTCCTCTGAAGAATATTTTGTTTTCCTTTAAGTCGTTCATACTTACATCCATGTTCTGACCATGATGCTATCCAGTTAGCACACCTTTGGTATCAGAAGAACTGCAGCACTCAGAGATGTAGGGAGTGGAGCAAGTGTTGCTGGCCTGAAACATGTACACAAGAAATGACGAATGATGTACATGGTCATGCACAAAATATTCAGTTTTTTACCATCATTCCTCAAAGAAAATTACATGTCTAATGAATATTTATGCCACGTTACACTTTTAAAGTATTTTACTGGTGGTAGAATGTTATGATCACTGCTTACCTCTTTTTTTCCTTTATCCCCATCCTTGAAAAGCTTGGCGCTGCAATTTTATATCAACACTGTATGAACCAAAACAACCCTACCTTACTTTTCATAGTCCTCTACTGTTGTCATACTCTCAAGGGTGGGCAACACTGAGCTACCAGCATCACCCAATCTGATGTTTTCAAGAGTTGTTTTGGTATCGAGGAACTAATGTGTTGGAAATTTAGATTTTTCTGAAAGAATACCCATAATCTTTGTATTGCAATTTATGGACATATTTTCCATGACTTCCACATAATAATATAGGCATTCCTGGGGAATTATCAACATCCCTACCAGGCTGCTTCAAGGAATCAATATGTAGATGTTGTCCATAAACTCTTGTAGCCAAACAATGCATGAAAACATAAAGCAGAAAGTCCAACTTTTTGGGGGCTCAACAAACAGGATATATTATTCTTTTTGAAGTTTTAGACATCAGACACGCCGTTTTGATCATCAAGCTCAACTAGAGGGTGTTTTGTGTGTCCGTGTGTGTATTATGTGCACGCCTTTGCGAAGTGTGCTCACTGTTCACCTCATAAAAGGGATTATTAATGTGGTCCCTCAGGTGATAAGTTGTTGTTTTTCTCCTTGAATATACAAGTTAACATCTTTGCAGTGTGTGTGTAAGTGTGGGTGTAATAGTGAAGTGTGTAGGAGTTGATGGAAATAGCTTTGCGTCTTAAAGTCACTACTAGTCTTCTCTCTTTGCGGAAAATGGATGTATATACTTACCTGCTTCTTCCTTCCCTTTTTAAAATTCACTCTTTCTTTGTATTTGTTCTTGTCCCATTGTGGCTTGTGTGTAGATGTGCACACTTTCATATCTCTTGGTCCTTCTCTCATTTCATGCTTGTGGCGCTTATTCCCATCTCCCATTCCCTTCACTGCCGTTCTCAATCTCAGTAATCAAATGCATTAGTTTCAATATTGCATGGGGAAATGAGCTGAATTTAAAGCTTGACCATGTCAAAGTGAGAGTCCCTGATAGCCAGTGACTGCCACCACTCTTTGGAAATTGTGTTGCCATTTTGGATGTAATTACTGAAGCCTGGTGACTGTTTAATACCTAGAGTGATTGCCAGATATTAAAAGGAAGTTCGAGCTTCAATATATATTCATTGCCCATCAATGGGAATCACCTGGAATGTAATGGATAGACTTTGTCTGGGCTGTTAGTCTAAAACAAAAAATGAGTAGCACCAATTTCATTCCATTCAGAAAAAAATGCTTGAAACTGTTACAAAAAAAGGTGAAATACTTTTAATTCCACCTAATGTCAGAAAGGCTAGCGATAATTCTGTCTTGTTAATATTTATGACTTTAAGCAAATACTGAACATTAGCTTCCCATTTGAGATGCATGTAAGTTAATGTAATTTACTAGATTTCCAGAATAAATGAGTGAATTGCTGCAGTGCTAGTCATTTTGTCACATTGAATTCGCAAAACATGACCATTAGCAGTTTCCTCATGGCCATAGCCTTTACTGTGGAAGCAGCTGAGGTAAATGGTTTATCAATCGATCGGCCTCTCTGCTAGCAAGGCCAGCATTCTAAATACTCTATTTTTCCTCGGCCCATTTCTAGAGAAAAAGTATTGCATGCTTTAAGCAACATTTGACAGGTTTTCCAATTGGGGTATTAATGACAGGAAAGTATGTTGTGTTTTCAATATCATATTTTTCTTTTGAGTGAAGGACTGCTTTAGCAACATATTGGCATCTCTGTTTAGAATTGCATTTGTTGTTATTTAAAATAGAAATATAAGATATTATCCCTCAGGGAATAATGAAACATACATGTACCTTTCATTCTACACTTCTTCATCTGGCCTGTTCTTATTTTTTTATTTACAGTTCAGAAAGGGAATCATTGAGCTGTTTGAACAGTGTCTATGGTTAAACTGGAGCCCACACTTGGCCTTGGGTTATGTTTTGGGAGGCCGTTCAACATCAATAGCTATTGTAATTGTGTTGTGGAGTTTGTATAGCAACCAGAGGAGGAGATAGAAAGCCATGCCCTAAGGGTATGGTCATAAATCATAACCTAGGCACTTTGTGAGCGTAGATAGAATAATTCCCTACAGGCATGGCAAGACTCCCTCTACCTCCACCAATGTTTACTGTCGGAACAAAAGGGTCATCATTCAGATGTCTCCTAGATAATTTGATACTCCCCCTCGCTATTCATGTTTCTGTATTTCCCTCAGTTCCCACCAATGACATTACCTACCCCCCAGGCCATGAAAAATAAGGGAAAGGACCCACATGTTGGTCGTGTGTCTATAATATTGTGTTGAAAGAAGAGCTGAGCTACTGAAATACTCCCACTCTCTTCTGGCATGGCGTCACCACAAAAGACCTATTGTTGTTCCGTCCCTTTGGGTTCTTGTAAGTGCGCGCGTGTCACGTGTTCTTGAATTTCTCTATTTGTATTTTGTGGGGGGAAAAATTGTAGATTTACAGTGTATGTGTGCGTGGGTTTTGCTGCATGGCTTTGTGGTTTTATTTTAAGTGCGCCTGCTGCTGCATGTGTCTGTCTGTTCCATTTGGCCCTTTAAAGAGACTGGTGCTGTTGCTGTGAAGGGTGGGACGCTTGTATATGCCTGCTGTCTGAGGTGCTTGGTTACACTGCAATTAGCTGTGGTGGTCCGCCTCTCACACAAGGCCACAGTCACAAATGTAGCCCTGTTGAGCAGCTGAATATATTTAACTTTACACTTTAAAAGCTTCTTGACTTGATTGATAAAGCCACTCATTTTTTTGATTAAGGTGATTAACCTTTTTTGTCTTTTTGTTGAGATATACCCACACAGTTGTTGACCGTGTACTCTCTGCACAGTTTGTATCACTGTACAGTAGTAGCCTATTCACCACCGTGTGTGCAGGTAATTAATCTCACTTCTAGAGAGTCGCCCTCACCACTCGTGTGGGCTCAGCAGAGTAGCAGCATCATTGTAGCTGAGAGGAGTTCAGTGTCTTGCACAAGGACACTAAAGCAGATCAAATGCTGCCATAGGGCCCCTAACCTGGGACCTGTCATCTGGGTCCTCTAAGAAGGAACCGTTTAAAGATTGATTGCTGACACACCGTTTGCTTTTGTCAAGACATCGACAAACTCATTAAATTCATGTCATGGATCTCGCTTACTTCTCTCTTTCTTTGTCTCTCCATTCACATCTTTTAATTAAAGAGTATGGAACCTCTTGGTGGTGGCTTTGTGCTGCACCAGCCATATAAATGAGAGAAAAATGGCGTGTGTGTGTTAGGTGGAAGGCGTACCCAGTCTTTCTGTTTAGCTTGGCCGGATTAATGGCAATTTGACTAAAACAAAGAGACGCTGCCTGGAATATCATTGGGTGCCTGTGCAATTACAAGGGGAAAGAGATAAGCAAATAACGTCAAGATCCTGTGATTAAGACATTAAAAAAACTGTAGAAAACATTGACTCCCCTGCTAATCTAGGAGTTTCAAAGGGCCCTGGTTGAGAGATTGAGCGATTACAGGGTGTGGGGTATGCGAGCCCTTTTCACAGAGCGATCCCGCAATACTTCCATGAAGAAATTCCATTATTAATCTTGAACACATACGTTAGTTCTGTCACTACCTCCACAGCAAGGTGAAATAACGGCGCAACTGTCCCACCTTGAACAGGTTGTGTGAAAGAGGATTTTGCCTCCAACACCCTATTACCCTCCTTCCATTTATGTGTCGTCAGCAGCAGTGAGATGTTGTGGAAAGCGCAGCAGAATTGCCTAGTCTGTTTTCATCAAAAGACACATGTCCTGTGAATGAGGGCAGAACCTTCACCGTTTCACTGCAAGATGCTCAATAGCAATACAGTATGCTTGTTTTAGCACCATTATATTGTTTTCCCATTGGGACAATCAAATTATTATATTGCCGTACCTTCCTGGCACACTATGTAAATGCTACGTCATGTAACTGATTTGTGATGAAAATGTATTACAGTATGTCTTTGTTTTAGAATTATGATCAAATATATTGGTGTTACAAAAACAGTATAAACGTTCACCAACCCTTCTTGGGTAAAATAATGTACATTTCATTTGGGTCTAATGTTTATCCTCTCCTCCTGTTTTTTACAGAGTGCCAAACCGTCCTGCGTGAAGACCCCAACCTTCCCTGCGCAGTCGGGGCCTCGGCTCTCCAGCCAGGTCAAAGATCAGTCCCACCCTACCCCTCCCTGCCCCCCCCCCTTTCCCTACTGGAGCCAAGATGGCCACAAGCGGTGCCCCTCGCCTCTCCTTGCCACTCCTGCTGCCTGTCACCACTCTGCTGCTATCACTGCTGCTCACCGGCTCCCACGCCTCAT